GCCGCCACGTCGGCTGTGTCCAACGTGTCTTCGGCAAGAAGAGGGAAAGAAAAACTCCGGACGGAGTCGGCGTGCCAGCTCTCGGCGTGGTTAATGGAACGTATGCTTTTGTTTGGCCTTGCCCTGGAGCAGCGGTGGAGGTTTTGGGGTGCAATGACACCCTAAAACCTCATTTCTGTGCTCGACTTTGCTGTTTGTGGTGTCAGCCAGGACAAAACTCACTTCGTGTTTCCAAACCACAGGGAAAAGCGGCCACTGTCATTCCTGGTGCCGGTGCGGCACCTGGCACAGAGGTAGTTTTCCTGGTCTCTCAGACACTGCAGGAGCATAAATAATACGGTAGATGGATATGTTAAGTAGTCTTATAGTGCCATCTGCCAGGTGAAACGGGCACCCCTGTGGCTCAGGGAGCACCCAGCTTTGCCAGCGTGCTGGGGTGGCTGTTTGCCCTCCTGAATCAGGTGTCTCGGGGCCCAAGCGTGCTGCTGCTGGAGCCAGGGCTGCCCGGGGCAGCGGTGTGAGCCAGCCTGTGCCCGTCCCTGGGCTGGCATGGGCTGGGAATGCCTGTCCTTGGGGTCCCATGTGGGTCTGAGAGCTGGCAGGAGACGGCGTGTGTCTGGGGAGCAGAGCTGTGGCTTGGCTCCTTCATGTGCCAGAGCACCCGCCGGAGAATTCCAAGCCCCTGGAGCTGTGGGCGGTGTGTGAATTTGGCTTTCTGCTCAGCAGTGGGTGTGAAGAGACTGAATTTCTCTTCAGCGCTTTCATTACCTTAATAAAACTACTTCAGGTCTGTGAAGTTCTTTTGCAGAAAAATAAGACATAATTGCATGTTTCGGTAGCTTCTCCTTCCCCCGAGCCCCAAAAGAGCTCAGCCCCTGGCTCTCACTTCCATGGCCGTTCATGAAATCCACAGCGAGGGGCTACGGGATCTTCTCCAAGAGCCTGGACCGGGTGAGGAGCTGGTAAACTCTGCTTGGCACGGAGCTTCTACCAGGATGGTCCCTCTCCCTCTTTCATCCTCTTAGCTTTGACAGATGCCAAGAAGTTATTCAGAGCTGTGGTCTTTTTGAACATTACATTGTCAAAGCTTTTCTTCTGTAAGAGACAAGTTCTTACCTAAGCTCTACAGAAATAGCAGCGATAATAAGCCCGAAATGAGGAGATGAAGAACTGGCATTCGTTTTACCCCATGGCTGCTGTTCACCAAGGTCTTCCAGCACTATCCGCCGTGTCGTACGCTCTCCGTTGCCCTCGCTCTTACGTCGGAGACTCTGCTCAAGTACTTTTAGCTTTGCGCACGCTTGGGAGTTGTCCCGTTCAGGCCTGGACTGTCACAACTCGGAGTCAGCGGCAGCGTGTAGGCCAGCACAATCCAGATTTAGCGCCGTCTGGGCTAATCAGGGTTTGTTTCAGCACATGTTTTGCTTTAAAACCTGTATTTTTCCGCATAGTGTCTCTGATGCGAAGTGACAAATTGGGGAAGGTCCTTCCTGTCACCAGCCATGGTTTGGTCAGAGCTCCAAGATCCTGGTACCTTTTGGATGGCTCATTGACACAGGAGAGAAAAGGACTGTAGAGATCAAGGAAAAAATGCCTGGAAATAAGCTGATGTTAGATATTACTGGAGGGTCTTGGAGCAGATGGTTGGATTAATGGATTAATTAATGGGTTGATCAGATCCTAAATTCCTAAAGATCCCTACAATAGAGACGGAGGCCATCCCTACAGCCAGTTTTTGGGAACAGTCCATAATACAGATGGAGTGGTACCTCCTAGCTGGCAATATTGCTTCACTGGAGGTCTCTGCTGAGCTCCTCGTTTCAGTATCTGCCATGTGCTGTCTTAGGAATATGGAAACCTCCTGACAAGCTTCATTTCTTTTCCTGGGGTGGCTGTAATAATTGGCTCCACCTTAACGTGGACCAAGGTGGATGCTGCACCCACTAGTAACCAAAGTTGTTAGCAACATCACTTGTGCCCTACCTTGAGGGAAAAGTTACTGCCGTAGAGATCCTTAGATCCTTCTTTTGCTCTTCAGCCTGAAACAGAGCAAAGATCCTGGCCTCCAAGCACATGGATTTGGGAAGTGTTGCAGAGAACGAGAACGTGAGTACTAGGACAGAGCACGTGTAGCATCTTGCTAATGACAATATAAGCATGAAGGTCTGCAACCTCTTCCCTGGGCATGGAACCAGTGCTTTGCAAATGAAATCCTCATTGCAGGAAGAAAACGGCAGCTGAAAATCCCATCTACAATCTGCTTGAGCTCTGAAAACTGTATACGTCGTGCTTTTCCTTTCCACCAGCTCTGCTGGCTGGTACCAGCTGTCGGAGCTGTTGTGTGTCTCTAGGTGCAGCTTCAGGAGAGGATGGGGAAGCCGCTTGGCTCCAAAACTGATTTGCCAGCCAGAATGGTCTTCAGTGAAGAGGAAAAACTGAAGGTAAAACAAATACTTTGGGAGCTGGAGAGAACTGAGCTGTGAAGCCGTATGAGGCCAGTGGTTCTGCAGTGGAAAATATGGTGGGAAATGTTGGGACCTCTTTCTAGTGTACGCGTTGTGCTCACATTCCCCCATGCGACCTATTGAAACGGTATGTTGGCCTCGGAATCCATCCATGGCCTTTACAATGTCCTTTCTCTCCCCTAGATTTCCAAAGACCTCGTTGATCTCCAGATTGAGACAAATAAAATGAAGGAGCAGTATGAGACGGAGAACTTTGGACTGAAAAATATGGTATCCGAAAGTTTCAAGTAGCCAGTTTCAGCTTTGCTGGTATCCTTCTCCAGAACCACAGGTCGTTACGCCTCCACCTTTGCTTGGTGTATTCTCTTGGCTTTAGCTGGAGTAATGGATTCAACCTTGACGCCCCAGATACCATGAAACCCTCATGAAACGCATCTCTCTCTAAGTTATAACATACCAGAACCTGTTTGGCCAAATAAATGCCCTGTGATTGCTGCTGGTCTCTGCCACTGTCTAATTCTGCTGTCTCCCCTCTGCAGATCCTGGCCCTGGAGAACCGCGTGCTGGAGCTGGAGCTCTGCGGCGAGAAAGTCAGCGGGGAGCGGGACGCCTTACGGGAACGCCTGCAGGCTCTGGAGACCAGTCGGAAGGAGCTGGCGGATGAGTACATCATTTTGAAAAGCAATTACCTGGCCCTGGGCAAAGAACTGGACCAGGAGGTGAGAGAGGTTGTGGTGTTTGTTCTGGTGTTCCCGACTCCAGCTCCCAGTACAGGCAGCTTGGTTGGCTTTGGGTCGTGCATCCGCGTCGTGGCTCAGGTCCGGCACGCTTTGCCAGCTGTGGGACAGCGCAGCTCGGGCACGGCTCTGTTTGCAGAGCCCAGGGATTTCCTGGAACGTGGTTCCCACCTAGCAGGGCTTGCAGAACCTGCTCTGCTCAGCACGGACAGCGCTGAGCCCATGCTGACCCGTGGGCCGTCCTCTTCTGGGCACCCCGCTGGCAGAGCCTTTCTCTTTTCACGCCAGCCCGGATCCCGGGCACAGCAGCAATGCGGAGGTCACTGCGGGGCCGGGCTGGGCGCGCGTTGCAGGTCCCTCTCGACCACCAGCACGCTTTGTTTCCCTTTTTTTTCTGCATGGCTTGCGCGGGCTGCGCGTGAACGGGTTGTAGCGGCTCTCCTTCCGTATGGCGGCGGGAAGGGGCCGGGAAGTTTTTGAGGGCAGCAAGTTTATAAAAGCACTGAATGTAAACAAGTTTCTGATTGTCCCTTAAAATATAGCGATTTGCCTGCTGACTCTTAGCTTAGGGATTATTAACTAAAGGGTTTTGGACCCAGATTTGTGTATTTCTTTGGCAGGAATAGCTACTTCAATAGACCTTCCTCTCTTCCCTCCCTCTTCCCCCTCCCCCTTCTCCTTCTTTTTGAATTGGATGGGATGACTGACACCCTCCTGCCTCCCCCCCGGCAGATACTTTAGCTGGTTCAGCCAAATGACCTGGTTTACCGTGCTGGCCCTGTGCAGAGCTGTGATGGGAAGATGTGGGGCAGGGACCAGGCATGCAGGTTTAGGTAGTGTCCAGTCTGTCTTTATGGTGAGCATCCATCCGCAGAGCTCCGGCAGAGGAGGAATCGCGACCGTCCTGTTACAAATAAGTGAGCTAGTGACTCTTGTGAAGCTCTCATTTGTCTCCCGCGAGCTGAGAAATGGGAATTTGTTTAGGAGGAGACAAGCTCAGCTGCTTGCAGAGGTGCAAACCCACC